GCAACATAAACAAAATATATGAATCGCTGTGAATTATAGCGTGTGTTTATAAAAGTAGTTAAGTTAAAGTGACTGTGGGAATTCTAAAAATTGTATCAAGAAGTAATAAACTAATTTCAATCAAGACAGGACTTGCATCGCTGAAGTTCTTCGGAAAGAATTTCTACCGGAAATTAACAAACAAGCAGATACGCAACAATACCTTAAATACTACATGTGTACAAAAAATATTTAAATTACTTAATATAATTAGGTAATCTGTTACGCTCTCTGTATTTACAAAATATATTACTAAAGTTAACTTTACATGGAATGATACACTAGTTTTTCATAATTTTCAAAGAGTATCTAATATTTAATTCGTTTCTCTGATCAACTGGTTGAATTTTACGTGAACTGATTGATTAGGCGTTCCTGGCCACATTTTCAGCTACAATCGATTCATTAATTTCATTGAACATTTTCATGTTCCTTAACTCTAAATTTTAAATTTTTACAAGTCATAGATTAAACTACATTTAAAGGAGTATTATAGATCCAACAGTCATCATCCTATTCGTCTTTGACTTTAAAACTACTAATAAAATTTCTTGACTTCTAACGGGAACAAATTGTTTCACTAGAAATAATGAGATTTTTAAATATATACCTGTTTGTGTGAAAATATCATGAGCATATGACAAACGTGTTATCATACCATCCGAACAAGTATTCACGTATAATATGGTATACTGTGATAACTTTAACTTATTACAGTATTTATTATAAGCCTTGTCGATATCATCAGGATCAAATCCTCTACCAATGACAACACACTTTAAACTCCGATATTAATTTTTATGATAGATACAGATATTTAAAGTGCTACACCTAAACGTAGAGAAAGCAGACATTTTTTGTAAACAAGGGTGACACGATTCCCTGTGTCGCATGGCAACCGAAACCGGCTTTTTCTACAACGACGCCGAAAGAAAACCTTTTTCTTTGCAGCCATGTTTAACAAATTCAAATATAATTTCCTTTCAGTTTCTTCCCTTTCCAACTGATGGCTATGTAGATGACTGTTGAAATGTGTATGTAGGGAATGTCTAACAGCTTTGTATTATTTGTTATTAAAGTGATATTTTAACGTTGTGGTGAGTTCAAAATTTCATTACCCTTTGCCCAAGTGTCGTATTTTTAATATTATTCAAAAATTATTCGCCACTTGCGTTTTTTTTTTTTTAAGTTCAATTAAAGAAATTGTACGATTACGTCGTAATTATTTCAATCATATTTAGTAAATGGAACGTTCTGAGCATTTTAACGACAAATAATAATTTTTTAACAAAAAATACTATTGTTTGAAAGATGATATATTTCGTTCGTGTAAAACAAAATTATTACTGAAATTTCTACATGTAATTAAATAAAAAGTAGAACAAATTTGAGCATATTTTTATACCATTATTTAAGGTGTATTGGTTGGTTTGTTGATTGCTGTTACGCGTAAAACTACACAATGGGTTATTTGTGCTGTGTCCACCACGGGTATCGAAACCCGATGTTTAGCGTCGTAAGCAAGATATCATTTGTTGTGTGAGCATTTAGAATAATGTACTTCATAACTCTGAAAGATGAAGAAAATAATCTTTAAAAGCGTTTTGTTTTTCTTTTTGTTTACATCATACGAATAACTGATATTTTTCACTCTCGCAGTGATTCTTTTTATTTCTAAATTTTGTGCACGTCTAATTACGATTTTGTTTTCTCGTAAGAAACAATTTTTTATTGAATTGTGACTTTTTAAGTAGTATAACAAATACTTTTAATGAAATTAACAATAAATAAATAATATAATATGCCTTACTTGAGGAACACAGAATCATTAGTAGTTAGTTTGAACTACTGTCATAGAAGTAAATTTCTTTGAAAAACTTGACCTAGTAAAATGTATCTGATCTTTTCTCCAATTCTCCCTAACAAATTTTTGACTAAGGTCATTTGGAATTTAGATTTTAAGCACATGTAGCCAATCTAAACAATACCATTTTTGAGTTCTAAAGCAAAATATAAGTACACCTATTCCAATCTATATATCATTGTCTTTCTCTGCGATGTTTTACAGAAGTATAATCAAAGTATCGTTCATGAAATTAAAAATAAAGTTTAAGTATTTTGTAGTTACGTATAATTAAATTTTTCTCATATGATTTCTACTTAACCCCAAACTTAACCGAATTACATTATTATGTAAGGTTTCATAAGTTTTATCATTTGGGAAAAAAATCATTTTGCTTTAAAACACTAGTTCGATTATACTAGCCTTTAAATGGCTTCTGCACACCATTTTGATGGTTGAATGCCAGCGTTTAAAAATTATCCATTGTTACCTTATATGTTTTACAAGTTACGCAGGAGATAAGGAGTCGGGTATCCTTGAGGAGCTAAAATAATCATTATAAATATATAACCTTGGTTTTCCTCTAATACGAATAGCTTATTACATAAATGGAAGAGATAATATCTATTCATATTGGGATACAATGTCAAAAGACAACGACCGCCATATTTGTCGAACTGGTATTATCGAAAGTTACAGATTAGTGGTTCTCAAACTGTAAGGCGTGAAAAGGTTACTGAAAAAATGATCATTGTACTTACATGCGTACCTGTTTGAACCTGTGGTACGTTACGATGTTTAATATTTCTTGGAAGTGATATAAAAAAGTGATCCACACACAATTTGTTGCTTAGCTATGCAGTAAATGTGAAATACTTTACAGTTAATAACATCTATTTAAATAGATGTAACTTTTCATCGGAAAACACGTAGAGTGATTACAGCGTAATAGTAGATTTTTTTATTCCACGAATATACTTTTTTCCTTTTGCAGTTGTGTATAAAATCGACTCGTCTACACAATAAGCACCCGTGAAACGATGTTCAGGAGCCTCACTGAACGTTATAAATAGAATAAAGAAAATTATTTTACCTGTTTATTGTGTGTGTATATATATATATATATATATACATCTAAAGGCTCATAGGCAACGGAACAAATTTGAATTTGGGGGACATCGACGACTGACGACACCTTATCTTACTTGCTACGTTAACCGTAACCACTGAATTAAAAACTGAAACAACGATTTGCCGTTATAGATAAACAAACATCAACTTTGCTGGAGTGTATCCAGTGGTTTTATGTATTGCTGTTCTATAGGCCATCAACAGTGGAGGGAGTAAGACATCCCAGTCATCTTGGTGGCTATTACAAAACT